TTAGGGTTTAGGGTTTAGGGTTTAGGGCAGTGGTCAGCTTAGGGTTTAGGGTTTAGGGTTTAGGGTTTAGGGTTTAGGGTTTAGGGTTTAGGGTTTGCGGTTTAGGGTTTAGGGTTTAGGGTTTAGGGTTTAGGGTTTAGGGTTTAGGGTTTAGGGTTTAGGGTTTTGTTTTAGGGTTTAGGGTTTAGGGTTTAGGGTTTAGGGTTTAGGGTTTAGGGTTTAGGGTTTAGGGTTTAGGGGTTTAGGGTTTAGGGTTTAGGGTTTAGGGTTTAGGGTTTAGGGTTTAGGGTTTAGGGTTTAGGGTTTAGGGTTTAGGGTTTAGGGTTTAGGGTTTAGGGTTTAGGGTTTAGGGTTTAGGGTTTAGGGTTTAGGGTTTGTGTGTTGGAGCTCAGCCTGGCTCCCGTGGCAGCGAGGGCCCCTAGGGTTTGCGAAGCTGCTGCTGCTGCTGCTGCTGCTGCTGCTGCTGCAGCAGCAGCAAAATTTAAATTAACAAATTTGCTGTCAGATTGTCTTGGGCCACAAACCCTAGGCCAAGCGGAGCCGCCTCACGTGCAGCAGCTCAAAAGCGTAAACCCTAAACCCTAAACCCTAAACCCTAAACCCTGATCGTCTGCACTTGTCCTTGCACTGCGCAGCAGCTGCGCCTGCAGAGCTGCTTACCACCTAAACCCTAAACCCTAAACCCTAAACCCTAAATCCCACTGGTCGCAGTGCGTGCCTTCCTTGGAGAGCAGGGTTTAGGGTTTAGGGTTTAGGGTTTAGGGTTTAGGGTTTGCGTTTCAGGAGGTATCGGCTTTACGGGAATGGGGCCAGAAACTGCGGGCCGGGGATTTCGAGGGTTTAGGGTTTGAGAAAGGGCCGCGGGGCCCCTCGGGCCAAACCCTAAACCCTCGCGAGGGTTTAGGGTTTGGAGGGGAGAGCAGCTTTGCTGCACCTCTTTTCAAGGGTTTAGAAACCCCCAGCAGCAAACACAAAAGCAAAAAAAATAAAGATAATTATAAACCCTTTTCTGAAGAAGAATTAATTCAAGAACTTCTCAAACAAGGAGAAGACACAGGAAAAGAAAGAACAGTCCGCAGCATCATTGAGTGAGCAGGGTTTAGGGTTTAGGGTTTAGGGTTTAGGGTTTGGGGTTTAGGGTTTGGGGTTTAGGGTTTAGGGTTTGGGGTTGAGGGTTTAGGGTTTAGGTGGTTCGCGTGCGTGTTTGCAGGTTTTTCGAAGGAAATGGAGAACCCTCTCGACACGTCAGGTGCGAGTTTGTCGTTTAGGGTTTAGGGTTTAGGGTTTAGGGTTTAGGGTTTAGGGTTTAGGATTTTGATTTCTATTACCACCTCAGACTTCTTATTCTTTCCTTCTCGTTAGTTCCAAACCCTTTTTCGTAGCCGCAGCTCCAAGCCTCCACCCTAGGGCCTAGGGTTTAGGGTTTAGGGTTTAGGGTTTAGGGTTTAGGGTTTAGGGTTTGTGCAGGCGTTTGGAGTTTGAAAACCGCCAGTTGTGCGCGCTGCGGAAACGCCAAGAAGAAGAAATAAAAACTTTAAAAAAAATAAATTTTGAAAATGAAAAAAATAAAAATAAATTCAAAGATTTGCTGCAGCAGCAGCAGCAGCAACTCAACGACTACAAACTAGCTGCGCGGGCAAGCAAACCCTAAACCCTAAACCCTAAACCCTAAACCCTAAACCCTAGGCTTCAGGCGCAGCCGCAGCAAGGCTGCGCCGGAAAGGGCCGACGGCCGCGGGTTTAGGGTTTGGGCTCTGAAATGGCTCAGCTAGGGTTTAGGGTTTGGGTCTCTAGGGTTTAGGGTTTGGGGTCTCTAGGGTTTAGGGTTTAGGGTTTAGGGTTTAGGCTTCGTTCTCATGAAGCACCAACTCTAATTAGAGCAGCAGATCGCCTTCCGCCCCACACAAGTCTTAAGCCCTAAACCCTAACCCTACCTAAACCCTAAACCCTAGACCCAGCCAAACCCTAAACCCTAAACCCGGCCAAACCCTAAACCCTAAGCCCGGCCAAACCCTAAACCCTTATCTCCCCACGCCCAAACCCCCAAACCCCCAAACTCCAGGCCCTGAAGGGCAGAGCGTAGCCGGGCGGAATCTCTAAACCCCAAACCCTAAACCCTAAACCCTAAACCCTAAACCCTTGCGGTGTGAGTGCAGCTGGAGCTGGAGGCGAACAAAGCCACAATTGCTGCGATGGAAAAGAAATTAAAAGAAGCAAATGAAAAAATAAAAGAAACAAAAGAAGAATTAAAAGAAACTCAACTCAAAGTTCAAAACATGGAACAGGCCCTGTAAACCCTAAACCCTAAACCCTAAACCCTAAACCCTAGGCGAGCTCAGCGCAGGGCACGCCGGCGCAGACTCCATGCCGAAACCCTAAACCCTAAACCCTCATTTCAGCCATGTGCTGGCGCCCGCGTGTCGCTGAAATTAGGGTTTAGGGTTTAGGGTTTAGGGTTGCGGCTTCGAGCCTGCGAAGCCAAAACCTTAAACCCTAAACCCTAATTTCAGCGGTGCTCTGGCGCCGGTGCGTCAAGCCCACCACTCTGCAGACCCTAAACCCTAAACCCTAAACCCTAAACCCTAATTCGTTTTGTTTCTTTTGCTTCAGCGCCGCTAAGACAAAACAGTACTGCGAAATGTCTGCAAAATATGAAGCAGAGAAAGGAGAGTCGCAGCTGACTCGCCCGCCGTAAGAATTAGGGTTTAGGGTTTAGGGTTTAGGGTTTAGGGTTTGGGGTTTGAGGGGACTGGTGCTGCGTCTGTCGCCTTCTTGCGGCGAGGGTTTAGGGTTTAGGGTTTAGGGTTTGGGCTACACCGGGGGGAAATTTATACTACGTATGCCTCCCGTGGACGCTTCGGCGTTTAGGGTTTAGTGTTTAGGGTTTAGGGTTTAGGGTTTAGGGTTTGTGCAGAACTCGGAGGCAGAAATCCTTTGAAATGGAAACAGACGAAGGGACTCTTGCTGAAGCTCTTATTCGTCTTGAGAAACTGGCGTGGACTTGCGAATACCTAGGGGTGAGGGTTTAGGGTTTAGGGTTTAGGGTTTAGGGTTTAGGGTTTAGGGTTTAGGGTTTGGGGTTTAGGGGTTAGGGTTTAGCGTTTGGGGTTTGGGGTTTGGGGTTTAGGGTTTGGGACTTCTGGGGGTGTTTAGGCGGCTGCGATGTACGGGGTGCTGCGTTGCAGCTAAACCCTAAACCCTAAACCCTAAACCCTAAACCCTAAACCCTAATTGTGTTTTCAGAACGAGAAGTTGGTAGCAATTGAGAGTTACAAAAGAGCAAAGGCGAAAGAAGTCCTTGCCCGCAGCGAGGTGGAGATTTTCAAGTAAACCCCAAACCCTAAACCCTAAACCCTAAACCCTCGTCGCAGCGCAAACCCTAAACCCTAGCAGCAAACCCTAAAACGCCGCTTAAACCCTAGCCGCAGCCCTAGTGCCTCCCAGGCCCCTGTGCCTGGCTCCATGCCTGGGGTTTAGGGTTTGGGGTTTAGGGTTTAGGGTTTAGGGTTTAGGGTTTAGGGTTTGTGCTGCAGGAAATATCTAGAAGAGCTGACAGAAGAAAGAGACCATTATTACGAAGTTGCAATTGTGCGTCTTTAAAAAAGTTAAATTTAAAAATCAATTTGAAATTAATTTTAATTTGAGGGTTTAGGGTTTAGGGTTTAGGGTTTAGGGTTTAGGGTTTAGAATAAATAATGCAAAACGAATTATCAAACTGTATCAAGCTGCGACTTCAAGAAAAAACAAAGAATTTAAAAAACCAAATTAGTTAATTAATTAATTAATTAATTATTTATTTATTCATTTATTTATTTTTATTTATTTATTTATTTATTTATTTATTTATTTATTTTTAAAATTAGAAAACAAAAGAGGCGGCGTTGGAGCGGGAGGCCTTTTATTTGTCGAAGTTGGAAAAAGAAGAAAAGAAATTCAAAGAAGTTTTAAAAGAAAAAGAAAATAATTTTTTTGTTTTAAATGAAAAACAAATTGCACTTCAAAAAAAACTCAAAGCCGCAGAAAACTCCACCAAACGCCAACTCAACGTCCTGCAGCAGGTAGGGTTTAGGGTTTAGGGTTTAGGGTTTGGGGTTTAGGGTTTAGGGTTTGGGGTTTAGGGTTTGGGGTTTAGGGTTTGGGGTTTAGGGTTTAGGGTTTGGGGTTTAGGTGTTGGGGTTTAGGGTTTAGGGTTTGGGGTTTAGAATTTGGGGTTTGGGGTTTAGGGTTTGGGATTTAGGGATTAGGGCTTGGGGTTTAGGGTTTAGGGTTTAGGGTTTAGCGGTCGAGGTTGGGGGTTCGGCACGATTAGAATTAACGGGCTAGGGCTTATCTTTTAGGGTTTGGGTGGTGATGAGGGTTTAGGGTTTAGGGTTTGGGACGAGGGTTTAGGGTTTAGGGTTTAGGGTTTGTGTTTGAGCAGCAACAAGAACTTTTGAAAAAGACAACAAATGACTTTAAAAAAGTCTCCGACGTTTTTAAAGAAAACAACAAAGAGGCGCAGCAAATCAAAAGACTGGCGCACCTCGTAAAACCCTAAACCCTAAACCCTAAACCCTAAACCCTTGTTTGCAACTTCCCGACGCCAAAGATAGCCTAGCCCCTCAAACCCTAAACCCTAAACCCTAAACCCTTGTTGGAAGCGCGAGACGCCAAGCAGCAGCAGCCAGCTCGGCGCAGCCAAAACCCTAAACCCTAAACCCTAAACCCTAAACCCTAAACCCTAATTTGTCTTCAGGTCATGGAATACTTGAACAATGCTGAGCACAGAGCCAAAGCCCCGCCTCCCCCCGAGCCCTCTCCAATTGTTGAAGTGCCCCAAACCCTAAACCCTAAACCCTAAACCCTTATTTTTGCATGCAGCCAGACCCTAAACGGCAGTTCAAACAGCGCTGGGTGTCCAGCCTTCAGTCTCTAGGGTTTAGGGTTTAGGGTTTAGGGTTTAGGGTTTAGGGTTTAGGGTTTGTGTGGATCAGGAGCCTGAAGAGTCGATCGCCGAGCAGCCCAGCGAGCCTGCCCCGTCACTCCTGGTGAGCCCAAACCCTAAACCCTAAACCCTAAACCCTAAACCCTTAGCTCCAAACCCTAAACCCTTAGCCGCAAACCCTAAACCCTAAACCCTAAACCCTGAAATCTGTTTGTTTGTGTGTCTCAGCCGAGCGAGGAAGTCATCAGGGCAGAATTCGAAAAGGCAGCTGTATGAAAACCCTAAACCCTAAACCCTAAACCCTAAACCCTAAAGTTGCCAGCTACAGCCGCAGACCCTAGACCCTAAACCCTAAACCCTCGTTTGCTCCTCTGCAGCTAGCAGAAGCCTACCAAATTAGAGTTTATGAATTTCTAAATATTATTATTTCTCTATTATTTATTTATTTATTTATTTATTTATTTATTTATTTATTTATTTATTTATTTATTTATTTACTTATTTATTTATTTATTTATTCATTTAGGGCCCCAGCCAAACCCTCGACCGAGAGTCAGCAGTAATTCTAGCACGACGTCTGGTAAACATGCTGCTGCTGCTGCTGCTGCTGCTGCTGCTGTTGCTGCTGCTGCTGTTGCTGCCGCTGCTGCTGCTGCTGCTGCTGCTAGCTTCCGTCCCGCCTGCTGCTGCTGTTGTTGGCTGCTGCGCTTCCCCGCCTTCTGCTGCTGCTGCTGCCGCTGCTGCTGCTGCTGCTGCGGCCCGAGCCACCACACCGCCGCCGCAGCAGCAGCAGCAGCAGCAGCAGCAGCAGCAGCAGCAGGGTTTGTGCGGCTCAGGGGGCGTCCCCGTCGTTCGCGGAGGCGGCCGCGCTGCCGCAGCAGGTAGACTTAAACACCTTTTTAGGGTTTAGCAGCGCAGCAGCAGCGGGAGACTCCGCCGAGGGTTTAGCTGCGGGGTTTTCTCCTTGGGATCAGCAGCAAAAAGGGTTTATTTCCAAAACCCTTTTAAAACACATTTTAATGAACTTCGGAGAAACCCTAACTGCAGCAGAAGCAGAACTCGCGCTGCAGCAGCTCGCGGGACCCGAAGAACAAGTCAACTACTTCCACTTCTGCCAAAAGTAAACCCCAAACCCTAAACCCTAAACCCTAAACCCTAAACCCTCGGGGGCGTGCACACGCAGCCGGGGGTACTGAAGTCGCCCCGGGGCTGGCCAAGTTGCTGCTAAACCCTAAACCCTTAATTGGCCGTAAACCCTAAACCCTACGTCGCGGGAGTGGAAACTGACTAAGAAACCCTAAACCCTAAACCCTAAACCTTAATTACACACTGTCCGGTGCTGCTTTGTTTGCAGGCTTCTGGAGCCAGCCAACAGGCAGCAAAGCAATTAAACAAACTGCTGCTGCTGCGCTTGCTGCAGCTGCTGCTGCAGCTGCTGCTGCAGCTGCTGCAGCTGCTGCTGCTGCAGCTGCTGCTGCAGCTGCTGCAGCTGCTGCTGCTGCAGTTCCCGCGGTTCCAACTGCTGCTGCTGCAGTTACTCCTGCTGCAGCCGGTACTGCAGCTGCTCCTTTTGCAACTGGTGTTGCTGCTGCTGCTGCTGCATTTGCTGCTTCTGCTGCAGCTGCTGTTGGTGCTGCTGCTGCTGCTGCCGCAGCTGTTACATTTGCTGCTGCAGCTGCTGTTGGTGGCCGTGCTGCTGCTGCACTTTATGCTGCTGTAGGAGCTGGTATTGGTGCTGCTGCTGCTGCAGCAGGCGTTGCATTTGCTGCAGAAGTTGCTGTTGGTGCTGCTGCTGCTGCAGCAGACGTTGCAGTTGCTGCAGCAGCTGCTGTCGGTGCTGCTGCTGCTGCTGCTGCAGCAGCAACTGGCAAAATTTTTTCGTTTTTTGATGTGTATATACACCCTAAACCCTCATCTCCAATCAATACCCTCGGCGGGAAATAATAAACCCTAAAGTAGGGTTTAACTCTAAACCCTGAAACAGGGTTTCATCTTAATGGGCCCAAAACCCTGGGGCTTAGTGTAGCCGCAAGCCCTGGATATCCCTAAACCCTAAAACAGTGTTTGCTCTCTAAACCCTAAACCCTAATTAGTGTTTAGCCCCAGCTTAAGGAACCCTCGAGCCTGAACTTTATAGGGCACCATGTTTCAAAATTACGAGAGTTTAGGGTTTAGGGTTTAGGGTTTAGGGTTTCAAACCCTAGAGTGGAACTGAACACGAGGCAGCTGCGCCTCTGGCCTAAACCCTAAACCCTAAACCCTTTTGGGGCAGCCAGTCTTAGAAACCTGCCGGCCTCTAAACCCTAAACCCTCGTTATAAACCCTAGAAATATCAATTTATTAACTTTCCTGGAAGTAAGTTTTTGAAAGACAAAACCCTAAACCCTAAACCCTAAACCCTCGCCTATGTACGGGGCTGCATGCGGTGAGCAGTCGGCGACGTTGTGTGGCGAAACCCTAAACCCTAAACCCTAAACCCTAATCTCTAAACCCTAAACCCTCAGGCGAAGATGCGGAAGCTGCTTCTCAAGAAACTCTTGTGGCTGCCTGCGGCGCCTGCTGCTTGCGAGCAGCCGCAGCAGCAGCAGCAGCAGCAGCAGCAGCAGCAGCAAAATGTGTCTCCGCTGGCAGCAGCAGCAGACTTTGTGGGGCTGAAGGTTCTTGGGAGCGGCGACGCCGCAGCAGCAGCAGCAGCAGCAGCAGCAGCAGAGACAGCAGCAGCAGCAGACGATGCAGCAGCACACGGGCCGCTGCAGCTGCAGGACGCTGCTGCTGCGCGGGCGGCACTGAGCAGCAGCAGCAGCAGCAGCAGCAGCAGCAGCAGCAGCAGCAGCAAGTGGGAACGGGCGCTGCTGTACACCTTCGGGCTCTACGACCCCCGCAGACTCTCCAAAACCCTAAACCCTAAATCAGTGGATAAGGAGGTTTTAGGGTTTAGAGAAACCCTCGAAAAAGTAGACCCTCAAGATGCATGCAAATATCTGCAGCTGGAAGAGTTCAAGTGCCTCAAGGAAAACCAGGCCCACGCCGTAAACCCTAAACCCTAAACCCTAAACCCTAAACCCTAAACCCTAAGGGCGGGCACGCGCCTGCAGCAGAAGCAGCCAGCGCTTCGCCTAACTGAGTTCCAACGCAGAAGGCGCTAATTAGGGTTTAGGGTTTGGGGTTTAGGGTTTAGGGTTTAGGGTTTAGGGTTTAGGGTTTAGGGTTTGGGGTTTGCAGGACCCGGAGGCTGCCAGCACGAAGTGTGTCAAATGGTTTCTAGAGTGGCGCCAGTGCAAGTAAACCCTAAACCCTAAACCCTAAACCCTAAACCCTCGCTAAACCCTAAACCCTTGTGAAGCCCTCGCCCCTCGTTTGAAAGCCCACCCCAAACCCTAAACCCTAAACCCTAAACCCTAGACCCTTGTGAAGGCCTGGCCCCTCGTTTGAAAGCCCACCCCAAACCCCAAACCCTAAACCCTAAACCCTAAACCCTAAACCCTTGTTTTCAGGTGGGATCAAGAAAAACTCCAAAGAGGTTACACTTATGCAGAAGATCGGCAGCACCCAAAACACAAACCCTACATTGCCACTCCAGACTACCAGTATTCATAAGCAGCAGCAGCAGCAGCAGCAGCAGCAGCAACTGCAGCAGCAGCAGCAGCAGCAGCAGCAGCAACTGCAGCAGCAGCAGCTGCAGCACGAGACGTTGCAGCGGCAACACCTGCATGTGCAGCTGCAGCAGCTGCAGCAGCTGCAGCAGCTGCAGCAGCTGCAGCAACAGACGTTGCAGCAACAGACGCTGCTGCAGCAGCTGCAGCAGATGCTGCAGCAGGCGCTGCAGAAGCAGCAGCAGGTGCTGCAGCAGGTGCTGCAGCAGATGCTGCAACGGAAGCCGCAGCAGCAGACGCAGCTGTTGCTGCTGCAGCTGCTGCTCGGGGTTGCTGCCGGCTCCATCAAGTTTGCTGCTGCTGCTGCTGCTTTACTGGCAGCAGCAGCAGCAGCAGCACCAGCAAGGTCAACAGCAGCTGCTGCTGAGCAGCAAAAGCAGCAGCACCTGCAGCTCCTCTGCAGCGCAAGTTGCTGCTGCTGCTGCCGCCACAGCACCCGAAGCAGCGGCTGCTGCTGCTGCTGTCGCTGCAGCAGCAGCAGCAGCAGCAGCAGCAGTGTCTTGGACTCAATTTTAAATATTTTTAATTTTGGTGCACCGAAGCATTGCTGCTGCTGCTGCTGCCGTGCTGCTGCTGCAGCTGCTGCTGCTGCCGTTACTTTGTTGTTGCTCCTTTCCTGGGGTTGCTGCTGTTTTGCTGCTGGCAGCAGCAGCAGCAGCAGCTGCTGCTGCTGCTGCTGCTGCTGCTGCAGCTGCCCTTAGTATCTGGAATCCCAGCGAAACGAAAGTAGTGCATTAAACTGCTTCAAATTAAATAATTAATTAATTAATTTAATTAATTAATTAATTTAATTAATTAATTAATTTAATTAATTAATTAATTTAATTAATTAATTAATTAAATTAATTAATTAAATTAATTAAAATAAATAAATAATTAGTTAAAAAGAAAAATTCTTTTTAGTCTAGAAAGAGCTCGTGAGGCTCGCGACGCTTCCGCTTCTTTCTCTGCTGCTTTTGCTGCTGTTGCTGCTGCTGCTGCTTTCGTTGCTGCTGCTGCTGCTTTTGTTGCTGCTGCTGCTGCTGTTTTTGTTGCTGCTGCTGTTTTTGTTGCTGCTGCTGCGGTTGCTGTTGCAGCGGTTGCTGCTGCTGCTGCTTCCTCTTGCGTTTTTTCTGCCGCTGCTGCTGCTTCTTCTCCCCGTTAGCCGCAGCAGCAGGACCCTGCGCTGCAGCAGCAGCAGCAGCAGCAGCAGCAGTTGCTGCAGCAGCTGTGTCTGCTGCTGCTGCTGCATGCTCGACAACATCCCCGCCGTCCTCCTCCTCTCCCTCCGCCGCCGCCGCTGCTGCTTGCACTTCAAATAAAGACTCATGGCAGCTCTTGCGTCTTCCGTGGGATCGTGCGATCCCACTTGGATTTGCTGCTGGAAGTGCTGCAGCACGAGCTGCTTCAGCCCGGGTGTACGTACACCCGCGACGACGACGAC